GATTATATGTATTATATTCAATTATGTATTATTACTTTATTTATTTATATAGGAAAATTATCTATATAAGGAAGCCCTTTTTCCTTTGGGAAATAACAGAGTTGTCTGGTTTCTCTTATATTTAATAAAGCTTTCCTTTATTAATCCTAACATTATAATGTCCCCACACATTAAATGTTACAGCTAAATACCATGATATTAGAGATAATATTACAAAAGCATTAGTTGAAGCAGAAAAATTTTCACTATTACAAGGCAATTTTTCATTTTCACCTTCTGGAGGTCAAGTGTTTAATCCCTATGCAAAAAGTAACAATACAGGTATGACCAAAGATGAAATAGAAAATTATGTAAAATCTATCATGGCATCTATACAAGCTCAACCGGTCTCACAAACTATCTTTTCTAAACCTCAGAAGAACCAAATTACACTTTCATAAGACAATTTCAAAAAAATTATAGTGGATTTAAAAGAAACTATTGCTAAAGAACAGCAAACTTTAAAGAAACCCCCTGGACAAAGAAAACAAAAAGCTAATGATCTTGCTATAAACCGTTTTTTAGATAATGTTATTAATGACAGATTTACTAGAAAAAGCTTATGACTATGATCCCATTAAAGATTTGAGAAAACAATTCGAGAATTTGGATATCAATCAAGCAAAACTAGCTTGAATAATACATGCAGTTTTAAAATCTTTTTGCAAATGTTCAAAGTGTTATAAAACAAGCCATAATTTCTGCAACTGTTCTAAAAATAAAAAGAAAAGCAAGTCTAGATGTTTTAACAAAAGCAGATCCAAAAAAAAAGGTAAGATTAATATAGCTACTAAAGATTCAGATTCTGAGTCCTATGATAGCTCTTCTGATAATGAATCTAATTCCAACTCAGACTCTGGATCAAGTTCTGATTCTGAGAATGACTTAACTGAGTTTGAAATTGCGAAAATTATCAATGCTGTTAAATTAAAAAAAAAGTAAAGCCAAAGAATAAATTATCTTCTAAAAAGCGGTCTAGTCCAAAAAAGAGACAGAGTCTCAAATCTCTGATTCAACACACTTCACAAAAATCACAAAAGAAATCAGGTACGATTATCGACTTACAGATCCGAAAAATTATTTTAGATATGTTTAGTGATCCAGAGGTTATAGAAACAATTAGAAACAATATTAATAATATGAATGTATCTATGACTCGAAGAGTCACCCCTAAAGGGTCTGCAAACCCTGACTTTACTGCAAAGCAGGACACTTTGTACTTAAATTATTGAGAGCCAGCTCCAGAAATATCTGATTCCGATAGGGAGGATGAAACATTGGACGATCTTATGGAAATAGACTTTGTAAAAAAGAAAGAACCGGTAATTAGTATTGCAACTATACCAGTTAAAATCAAATGCTTAAAAATTCCAGCATTGGTACTAGATGATGGCACTGAACCTCCAATTACATCAGAAGATATTATTAAGCATGTAAATTGGCCAATTGATAAGTCAAAAAAATATGATCTTGGCAGTGTTGCAATAGTTCCAACAGAATCTATTGGTATTGCTCATAATTTCCCAATAACATTTTCTCCAGGTTTTACTATACATAAAGATTTTGTAATTGTACGAGCTCCTAAACCAACATTAATATTTTCAAATCCACTTCTTAAAAAATATAAATGTGCTGTAGACTGGAGTAATTATAAAATGAAAATCTATTATAATGGAGAAGATTTTATTATTCCAGTCACTATGCATAAAGTCAAGAATAAACTCGAAGTAAATTGCACAACTCTAACTTAAGATAGTAAGTCTTCGTCATCAGATCAAATTTTACAGGAAACAGATAGTGGCATAGCTCTATTACAAAGTAATAATGATGAGAACAACAATCTGCCTTTAAAAAAAAATGCATGAGCTATAAGGAACTGGAAAAATCGCTATATGAGGTATTCGAATCCAAGGTAAAATTAATAAATTTTAATAGGAAATTGCAACTTCATATAAATAAGTCCAAGAAGGTTACCAACCAGTATTGATATATTACATGGAATGCAAAACACTCTAGAAAATGCAAAGATAGATTAATTGAGATTTGCTGAAAGCAGTTACTTCGTGGCTAAAATTCTTTCTGATCCATATTTGATTACTTTTGATTCTTTATGATTGCGCTCAATTAAAGTATACAGGTCATTTTTTTCTGCTTTCTTTGTTAGGGTATTGGATATATCACTCTTATTGATAATATGTACCTTGATACTAGCTCCACTATTAGATGAATCAGAAATCCGTATAGATTTATTGCTTTGCAGACCCATAGGGGTGTCTCTTTGAGACATGGGATAAGCTATGCCCCTAAATCTTGGTTTTCTATTTTTAACCCACTTGTTCGGAATATTAATTTGGTTAGAATTCTCAGTTATACTAGTTTCTTCAGTGGAGATGATATGGTTAATATTTGGTGAGCATAATTCAGAAAATAATTCTGATATAGGTAAATCTTAACTTGAGGATGTTATTGATTCTAATATAGGCTGATACCATTCTACTATACTAACTTCCTGCCCTCTCCAAATTTTATAAAATCAGTTATTTGTCATAGAATATCTTTCTCTTAACATCTTTAAAATGTTAGTTTTAGGCTGTACATCTTGATATTGCATAATAAACTTATAATCTTCTGAAGATAATGGAACTGCATCAGATTGCATATGTTTAGCCATGTTATTTTTTATATGTGTAATATGTGTAATATGTGTAATATACGTAATATCAATAATATTGATAATATTTTTAAAAAATAATTAGTACGTGTAATATATGTAATATGTATAATATGTATAGTATTCATAATATAGATAACCAGTACATGTAATACATGTAATACATATAGTACGCATAGTACACATTGTATACATAACACATACCTTATATATACTATCTAATTTTATCTGTATTTTTATTATATTATCTATTATTTGATATAATCTATGAAAAAGATCTCAAGGAAGAAATACAACAAATTCTCCAACGCTTCTCTAAAGTGTATGATTATAATGCTAAATTGCAGAATAAGTATGAAAAGCAAGAAAAAGATTTTAACAAGGAGAGGGGTAAGTGAGATTGGGAAAGGAATAAATGGAGTCAGAAACTAGGAGATGCTAATACTGAGATCCAGAAATTACATGCTTATGATCTCGAACTCATTGATAAAGCTAGCAATTTACAAATCGAAATTGCTAATAAAGATCATTCTCTTGTGAAGTCCAAAGCTGAAAATAATATAAAATTCAAGAAAATCAAATCACTTGAGTCTATGATCAAGATATAAGAAGGTAAGTTGTCTTCGGCCCAGAAAGATATGGTTTCGATTCAAAATGACTTATTAAAAAAAGAATTCAGGATATTATCCCTTAAGTCTAAAATAGCTGAATTAGAACAAATAAAACATAAACTAATCTCTAAAGTTAATAAGTTGGAGCATCTAAAATCGGAAAATATATTGAAACCTATAATTGGTGAAGATGACAAAAAAAATATACAAGGCAGTAAACAGACTTTCCTATCAAATTCTGATGAAATAGCTGCAATTAGTGAATCTAATAATCTTAGTAAATATTTAGTATGCAGAAAAAATATGGATCCAGGCCCTTTAGGGGCGACTCTTCGAGTTATAGAGAAAATTGATGGTGATGTCGAGACATATACCAGGCCTTTAGGCACCTCAAAGAGGCATGATAAGATTACTGAACTATCAAAAAATGATATTAAGATCAACTCTAAGAAAAGTGATGAAATCAATATTAGTAAAACTAACAATATACTTCAAGAAATACCAAATATGACTCCTTACCTTACACCGCCAGAAAATTATGGGCAGAGCCCAATGTCAAAGACATATATTCCCTCATTGATGTCACTACTATCAGCATATATATTTCTTACTCTTTTAATTTTTGCATTATTATTATATTAAGACGCACATAGAATATAGGTAAAAAGAATGATCGGTTATGGGATGCATAGGCCAGGTATTAGGAACTATCTATTTAAACTTTGATATTATTTATGTACAAAAAAATATTATTATTAATGTATAGTGGAGCTAATGTCTAAAGACACATAAGTATTTTAGTAGGATGTGACAATTCTAAGATTACTTAACAATAGATAAATTAATTTAAGCCTTTGATATATTTTATAAGCCATTTTTTGACTTCCCTTTGAGAATATGTATCAATCTGCTTTTTTTTCTCATCTGAATCTTTGAGTTGCATAATTTTGTGTGAAGATGGTGGTTGATATTTCTCGTCTTTGTTAATAAACTGTGCACATAATCCCAAAGTACTTTCTATATAATAGTTGATATTTATTTCCATGTTTTGTTTTTTTGCAAACTCTGGATATTCCATATAATCATCAAGTCTATATGATATTAATCGATCTTTTTCATCATGATAACATTTACCCTTTACTATTACATAACTAAAGTACTCTCTAGAATTTGGAATATTCAATTTTTTTTCTTTCATTTGAGTTATAAATGCTGGACACAAAGATTTTTTTTCTTAGGCTTCTATGTAGCTGTCCCAATAAATTGACCAAAGTCCTATTGCTTATCTTTGGCCTTTCTAAAAATATCTTCAACAATTTTATGAATTGATTATATATTATTTATATCCATAGCTTCCTACATGATTTTTTCTCTAATAAATTTGAAAAGCTGAGACTGGCCTTGTTTTATAATATTAATCCCTTTTCTAAAGAGAATATCTGGCTTAAAATTGACAACATCTTCATGTGGTATACCAAAGTATTTTTTCTTGCCAGTAAAGTAAACAGGAAATAATACCTCCTCATATGCCATTTTTAGATAAGATGTGTCATTTTTTATTTTGAGATAATCATTGACTTGATTACGTAACTTTTTCATCATATTCATAGTAATTTTGACCATTTTAGTTCAGTACACTTGTTTAGAAAGTTCTTTTCTAGAGAAGACTTCATCACATTTTTTATAATACTTATCTGGAGAGATGAGATATAAAGAATTGGTATCCCCATATTTTATTTCAAAACCTTTTCCAGATACAAATTTAGCAACAAGATCAATATTATACTGACCTGCAGAAGTAATTCCCCCAGCTAATTCATGAAGAAAGAATGGAGATTTGCTATTTTCTGCCTCTCCGTAAAAAGTATTCATATATATCTTTAAAGCAAACTACTTGAAATTTAAACAATTATAATCAAAACATATAGATAAATATTCCGAATTTAAGCTTTTTGGGATTTTTTTATCTTTCTCTTTAACAGAACTTATCATTTTTCTAAGCTGTTTTCTTTTCTTTCCTAATAAGGCGAGTTGCACTTTAAGACTTATTCTCTTGTTAAATAGATCTTCTAATACAATAGGATATAGACCTTTTTTCTCGAATTGATTATCATGTCTTATACATCAAGCATGGATAATGCAGTTATTAAATGAAAACTCAATCTTATGTAAAATATTTCTATTATTTCACGCAATATCAGCCTCTCTATGCATTAGTATTATTTTATCTGGAGAGAGATTGTAAACCATAATAAGACTAGGATATAATAAAGCAAAATCCAATCCCGTTACAAGTCTTCTCGTTTCAATCACTTTTTTAGGCAAAAATATGTATGTGCCAGAATACTTACTCTTTTTTGTGTTTTCAGATATTCTTGTATTAATTACCATATCACGTTTAAAAGCATAAGCACCCAGAAGGTTTCGTACCTTCATTCCATTTGCCCGATAATGTGAATCAAACAAAGATATATAAGCTATAGAAGCAACCTCCCTATAGTTATTAATTATATTCTGGTTAACTATAAGCTCCTGGCAACGCAATGCATCTATAATACAAATATTTGCAATGTCACACATGTTTTGTATAGTAGAAGGATGTGATTTGTTTAGATCTTTTGGGTCATTGCTCTGTAATAAGGAAATACTCTTTTTTGCTTCTGAATAGATTTTCCACATTTTGTTATATGGCATATCCGCTTTACTATCAAGACCATATAATTTTAAATAAAATGCTAATGAACTTTTTTTATCAACTTCCTCACGAGGATAGAGTTTCTTAAAACATGCACGTACGTCAATTGGTACACAACCTGGTATTTTAAGAAAAGTGGAAATATAATTATCTTCTGAGCTAATTTTGATTGTGACTGGCCATACTCTATTGTTTTCTTCCTCACTATTATTATTGGCATCTTTTTTAATTTGGAAACTATTTTTAAATTTTGCTCATATTTTCCCATAATAATTCTATTTTTGAATTTCCTCAGATGATTTAAAGCTTCCTGTCATTTGCTTCCACATCCATTCAAGAATATTAAGTCTACAAGCTCTTTCCATAATAAATGGCCAATCATATTCTGAATCGCTAAATCCAAGCTGAATATCAGGAATAAAAGCTTTTCAGTATAATGCAAATGCTTTTAATAAATTTGTTTGGTTTCTACATACAATTGTTATCCATCGTGGATTTGGTGCAGTTTCAAGATCAACAAGACAAATTTGTTTTAGCGGTTTTGGATCATCTTTCCATTGCAAAGACATACAAATCATAAATACGATACTTTCTTTATCATATATTTCAGCAAATTTGCCCAACTCTCATAATTGTATCTCTATATCCCATGTAAGAATAAGTGTACGATCTTTCATGAGTACTGAAATTGGAAAGCAGTCACTTATTATTTTTAGATCTTCTATTGGCCAAAAATTATTTATAGAAACCCAAAAATCGTATATATAATAGGGATGTTTCTTATATCTATACCTGCTTATCATAGATCAACCAGAGATCGCAATTCCATTTTCTCTAACTATTATTAATCTTAAATCACGTGATCATTGACTCATGATTCAAACCAGGCACAGATTCTTTTTTCGCTTTTTTATATGTATTGTAAAGCATTGGCATAAAGTAACGTGAGCTACTACATTATATATTTATGACTGATTACATTGTATGGATTCTATTATTCCATGGAGAAGTATGATCCAGGAGACTGTCACCACCTCTTTTACTTCTATTTCTAGTATCGAGGAGACTGATGAAATAAAAAAACATTGTTATTTTTGGTGGAAAACTGGCAGCATTCATCCGAAGGCCGGGTGGGAGGAAGCTACGTAAGTCTCTTTTCTGTTTGATTTGACAGATGGATATTTTTGTAAACCAGTGTTTGATATTAACTGATATTTATATTCAAGCTTGTCATACATGCTAAAAACCGATGTCACCTTAGATGAATATATTAAACGGACAGATATGCATAATGTGTATGCCCTATGGGAATGGGAAAAAGGAACTGTTTGGATTATTGAACTTCCTTCGTCTTTTCACGAGGATTGCATTACTACAATTATAGCCAAGTTGGGTGCAATATTTGATGTCGTGTCAGCCACTTCTGTAGGCATTAAATTTTCTGGAATGACAAGTGAGTGGTTTATTGGTTTTCTTCATGCTATTGCATCATAAATACTATATATTTACATTACTCACTGTTTTTGACTAAAAGCAACAAAAAACACCTGAAGGAGGCAAGGAGCCAGATGGGTCTCTTCGACCTGTAGGAAAACCTCAAGTGTCTGGGGGTGGATCTGATGGAAGGATATGAAAAATTTTTAACCCTGTTCATATAATTGTGGTAAATTTCTAATGTGTGATATACTTTTAGAATAAACTCTGGCCCAATCTTGTAATAGAGATTGCTTACTCTGAAAATGAGGCACATCTCAAGGATAAATAGAGAATTACTGGCTCCTTCTTAATAGAGTTCACGATGCAATTGTTATTAAGCTAAACTACATACCAGATATGACAGTAAGTAATGATAACAAGTATTAATTTCTGCGCAGCTGTCTTAATATAATTTTTATTCTTTAATAGGCTTGGAATTATTGCATAAATAATCGAACAGCTGTCGGAGCATTAAACCCTGTAATGGTATATTTATTATATTATTATATGCTTTTTTTAGTATAGAATGAGTTTAATGTATTTTCTATTTAGTATGAATTTGGAACGATTAACCGTCAAGGAAATCCAATCAATATTCTACCTGGGCAATGCGTTATTAATATTCAGCTGGGATGCATTTACCATGGAATACCAAACAACTTCGTAACTCCCACGCCTCCTCTACCTGACCCTATTGCCCTCGATCTCTTTTCTGTTCGGTGGGTTATTTTAAATCCCTAATTTAAGTGTACGACTTCTCTTATATCAAATTTAATCTAGTCTTGTTTCGATATAATTGCATAATTTACATCTAATAAAATTTTATCGATTTTACCTTTTACAACAATGCGTTCACAATGTATGAAATACACAACTTCGCTGATAATATAGCATAGATAGTCTTATGGAACGAGGATACGAAGCATATATATTATTATCTCGTAGCTATATAAATATTTCATCATGAAAATAATCGGTTTTCGTGTAAATATTCTCAAATGTAAATAAATAAATTCTCGATCATGGTTGATTTCTGATTCCCGAAAATTTTTTAGTACAATAGCATATATACATGTATATTAAACGAACTTTTGAATATATCTACATCTTGTATAAAAAATGTCAAATATAGAATCTAAGATCGATTTATTAAAGGAATTAAATTCGAAGCTTTTGGTTGAGGTTTCTGAGCTTAGAAAAGATACTCTGAAATCGAATCTGCATATTTAAATATTAATATTCAAATCCAGACTTTTCTCTATATTTATACTAACAATCTTAATATTTGAACTAACTTTTGATCTATTCTACTATGAACTTTCATTAACTCTACTCAATTAAAGGTAAAAAAAGAATAATAAGAATGATAAAATTGAAGAATAAGAATAGGTATTGTTATAGGTGTTGGTTTAATTATAAGTTTGTTTATGTCCCAGATAACAATATGATTTTTGAAATTGGTCTACTTGTTAAAGTTACTGATGAGTCTAGAGAAAAGTATTTTGATTTATCTATTGATATACTTAAAAATAGAAAGATCTGAAATAATAAATAAATACATAGAATAATCTACTGGATTAGGTTTATCAATTTATACTTAAATCTTTATAACATTATACTCAATTAATCTGTGACATTTAAAGCCAGCTCTTAAATAATTTGAATACATTATTAAAATCAATAAAAAACTCAAGAAAATAATCAAGTTAAATACAAATCTTTCTCTATCTTTCACACCAAACTTATAACAAACTAGCTTTTCATAAGATTTAAACTATATAAAAAATACTTCATACTATATTCTGATTACTTTTGCTTTTAATATAACATTGAAGAGGAAATTTTTAACCACATTCTGCAATATTTATACAGTAAAAACTATTTTATTAAAAAGAAACCGAAACCTATCAACTTAATTTAACAAAGTCAGCATTATATTACTTCTTCAGCAAACAGTTTCATCTGTTCTATTAATAAATTGCAATTATTAATTATTATATTTTTCAATTGTCTTTCAATATATTACACGTTATTCTAATATACCGGATAAACTACTATAAGTTTGTTAAGCTTATTATCTCCATCTTTCGTATCGCAGAGATCACATTGCGCAATTGCAAATCCAAATTTTAACCTCAGCAATAATAACATGTTCTGTATCTGATAAGCTTTAGAGTTTATACAATACTGTATACTGTATGTATGGTTGTGTGTATCTAATAGTAACTATTTATTCATTACTACTATACATCAATTATAACACAGTACAGTATAAACCCACAACCCCCCCTTAGCAATTAAAGTAAAAAAAATAGAACAATAAAGGTAATAAAAAAAGACTTGGCATGTCAAGAAAAAAAAATTGTTATCATAGAATTTAAAGCGAAATTAAATAATAAAGATCGTTTAAAATAAAAAACTTGACATATCAAGAAAAGGAAATAATTTGTCGTCATGAGATTGAAAAGCTAATAATATTCAATAGAGCAAATAAATTAATGTAAGTTTAATATAATAAATTTGATTATGGGACTGATTAATTTAGAAATAAATACTGTATCATAAAACCTACACTTACCGCCTAGTAGTTTAATAAAGCAAATAATTTATAAAATCGATTAGAGCGGTTTTGTTGCTAAAATAAATGTTCTGAAACTTATACTTACGACCTACTAGTTCAATAATTTTGTTTTTAAGATAAATGTTCTGAAACTTATACTTTTTGGCCTAGTAGTTTAATAAAATAAATAATTTATAAAATCGATTAGAATGATTTTGTTTCTAAAAACAAATTAGAGCAATAGTTCTAATTAATCTGGAATCGAATATTTTAAACCTATACTTACATACTGATAGTGATAAGACAAATATATTATAAAATCAATTAGAGATGTCATTTTTTAAGATGAATGTTACATAAACCTTACACTTACTGGCTAATAGGTTGATAAAACAAAATTGTAAAATTGATTAAAGATACAGTTCGGAATAATATAGTACGAATACTATAAAATTTATACTTACCGCCTAGTAGTTTAATAGGTCATAAAATCAATTAGAGAGATATAGTCCCGATTAATCTAGAACAAATGTTACAAAATTTATACTCACAATCTAATAGTTTGATAAAATAATAAATAAATGAGATCAATTAGAGAGGGGTCATTTATAAAAAAAAAAGACTGTGCTGTATTATGAATCTTATACATACAATCTGATAGTTTAGTAAAATAAATGTAAAAAATCGATTAGAGATGTCTTTTTTAAAAGATGAATGTTATGAACTTCACACTTACTGTCTAATAGTTTAATAAAATAAATAAATTGTAAAGTCGTTAGGAGATACAGTTCGAATTAATCTAGCATGAACATTATATAACTTATACTTACCGCCTTGTAGTTTAAGAAAATAAATAAGTTAGAATTTGATTAAATAACGTTAATTTATAAATAAGCATAATAGAACTTATACCCACAATCTAATAATTATATAAATTAAATAAATTAAAAATCTATTGGAGATGTCGTTTTTACAAAATAAAAGTTATAAAACCTATACTCACATGCTAATGGTTTACAGTAAATAATAAATAAATTGTAAGTCAATTAGTAAGATTTTATTTTAGAAAAAAAAATACAATGAAATATATACTTACGAGCTAATAGGTTAAAAATGATTAGATTATGAAATCGATTAGAGGTTTCATTTGTAAGAAATGAATATTATAAAACTTAAACTTACTGCCTAATGGTTTAATAAAAAACAAATAATTAGTTACAAAACGATTAGACTGTTATTATTAATTTAAAAAATCATATAAAATTTAAACTTACTAACTGATGATTTGGTAAAATGAGTAAATAATAGAACCGATTAGAAAAAAATGGTATTTTATAAATATAAAATCGGTTATCTATGAACATTACAAATACTTACGATCTGTTAATAATAAAATAAATTAAGTGAAATCGATTAGAGATTTATTTAAGAAAAATAAACAATAAATAAAACCTATACTTACTGCCTAATGGTTAAATGAAATAAGTGATTATAATATTGATTAGAAAAATATTAGTTATAAAACAAGTATAATAGAACTTATACTCACAAACTAAAATAAATAAATTATAAAATTGATTAGAGAAATAACATTTACTCAATCTAAAAAATCAATGCTACGAACTTATACTTACCGTCTAATGGTTTGGCAAAATAAATAAATTACAAAATCAATTAGAGACACGTTTTAGAAAATAAACGCAGTAAAACATATACTCACGCTCTAATTTTTTAACATGGTAAGTAAATTATAAATCATTAACTTTAGAAATAAACACTGTATATTAAAACTTATGCTTACCGCCTGGTAGTTTAATAAAATAAATAGTTATAAAATTGATTAGAGAATGTTAATTTAAAATAAGTGTACTGTAATAGAACTTATACTCACAAGCTAATTTAATAAAATAAATAATTGTAAAATCAATTCGAGAGGTATAATTTTTAAAAATAAACATAATGAAACTTTAAACTAATACTTACTCTCTGATGATGATAAAATAAAAAGTTACAAAATATACTAGAGAGATACTGATTTTTTTTTAAAAAAAATAAATGCTCAAAACTTATACTTACTAACTGATGGTTTAATAAAATAAATTAGTACAATATCGATTAGAGAGATATGTTCTGATTACTGTAATTAAGAAACGAATATTATAAATAAAACTCATCCTTACCGCCTAATAATTAAAACGAATTGATTATAAAATTAATGACAGAAAATATTTGATTTTTAGAAAAATTACAGTATAATAAAACTTTTACTCACATGCTAATGATAATAAAATAAATAAATCCTTAAATCGATTAGAGGTGTAATAATTTTTTAAAAATAAATGTTATAAAACTTATATTCACCGACTAACAGTTTACGGTAATAAATAAATGAATTGTAGGTCGATTAGTCAGAAAACAATTGTATATACGGTTTACTTACTTTCTAATAGTTAAAAATATAAATAGGGCATATTTTAATTAATCGAATAAATAAAAAATAAAATCAATATACAGTAGTAAATACTATTCTTACTGTCTAAAATTTAAATAAAATAAATATTTTATATAGTTTATTAGAGAGGCATCGTTTTAAGGAAGAAATGGAACAAACATATACTTACCGCCTAACAGTTTAATAAAACAAATAAATTGTAAATTAATCAGAAAGGTGCAGTTCTAAAACGAACGTCCTAAAACTTAAACTCACTAACTGATGTTTAATAAAAGAAATACAGTATGTCGTAAATAAATTAGAGATGTAGTTCTAATTAATCTAGAAACAAATTACAAACTTATACTTACGTCCTAATATTTAATAAATAAACAAATTATAGAATCGATTAGAAAGATATTGTTTCTAAAAAATAAATTTATAAACTCATACTTGCCATCTAATGGTTAGATAAATAAGTTACAAAATCGATTAGGTCGAAAAATTTAGGGACATAAGTTTAGAAACAAATATTATAAAATTTGTACTTGCCTTCACCTAATAGTTTAATAAAATGGGGAGTTATAAAATCGATTATAAAAAAAAACAGTAAATTTATAAAATAGGTATAATAACATATACTCACAAACTAATGGTTAATAAAATTATTAGAAAAAAATCCGTTAGAAAGATTTTATTAAAAAAATATACTGTATCTGATAAGCACACTTACATTCTAATAAAATAAATTATAAAGTCAATTAGGGGAATAAAAATTAATTTTTTTTTTTTTTAAAAAGTTATGATTTATACTTACTCGCTGAAAACGATAAAATTAATAAATTAATTTCGATTATATAGATATAGATTTGACCAATAAAACAAATATCTTAAAAAATTATACTCACCTCCTAATAGTTAAATAAAATAGATAGATTATAGAATAGATCATAGAGATATTATTTAAAAAAGTGAATATAATAAAATTTTATCTTACTAACTATAGTATTTAGTTATAAAATGAATAAATTCAAAAATAGATTAGAGAGATGTCATTGTAGGAAAATATATATAATGAAACTTATACCTACTGTCTGTTAATAATAAAATAAATTAATTATAAATCAATTAGAGAGATGTTTTTTAAGAATATAATAAAATAAAACATAGTACTCACGTGCTAGTAGTTTAATAAAATAAAATTAATTAGAGAGACATAGCTCGATTAATCTTGAAACGAATGTAATAAAATTTACTTTACCGCCTAATAGTTTAATAAATACAATAAATAAATCATAAAATAGATTGGAAAAATATTACTTTATTAAATGTAATAAATTATACTTACAT